CCGGGCTCCCCGAGTCGGCCATGACGCGCGGCCGGTCCGCTGCGGCTGTGGACGGATGGACGCCGAGGCCCCGCGGTCAGCTGACGGCTCCGCCCCGCCCCGCCCTCAGGGTGGCTCAGCCTGCCCTTCCTATGGCTTCTGCGCTCGTTGTTCTCCTCCATCCTTCCTCTGGATCGCGCCTTTAAATTCCGTTTCTGGACCGTGAAAGCCCCGGAGAGCCCCGCCCTCCGCCTCTCGGGGTGGGACGCCTGTGGGGACTCCACGTCTGGGGTGCGGGACCCCTGGCTACAGCCCCGATGCTGCGCACCCTCCGCACCTAGCAGGACTGCTGGTGCGGAAAGTCTCGAACTCCGAGTACCCGCAAGTGTTCTAGAAGGCTCTGCACAGTTACTGTGTGCAACAGTGAGTTGGAGGGAAGCCAGAGAAAAAGGCCTCTAAGAATAGGGCCTAGGCACAGGGCCCCTCCTGGCCCATTTGCAGCATTTATTTGGCCCTGCTCTCTCTTGGGGACACGCACACATATAAGCAGAGCCCTTGTCCCCAAGGAATATACACAGTTCACCATTTGTTCTTGAGGCTTGCTTGTGATTTGTGTCTGAGAACCTTATAAAAAGTCTTAAACAGCAAACTTGTTTCTCTACTAGCAAAGCCAGAGAGCATTTTAGTTTATGTTGCTGCATGTGTCACTTAATTGGCAAAATACAGAATCCGGCAGAGTCAAACTAGGCCTTTTGACTCCTACAGTGTAGAAGTTGTGATAGACTTAAAAAAAAAAAAAAAAAAAAAAAAAACACCCAAATTGTACTCATTTTTCAAGATTTTTATATTCTTCTTTCACTAGATCTTAAAACTTAGTGTTCAGCTGGCCAATTTTTTAAAAATCTGTTTTAAGGAGATATAATTTAATACAGTAAAATTCGCCCTTTTGGGAGATACCCTCACAAAGAAATGCACTTGTTAAGTTTTGATCTAGAGCTTGCCCTGGAAGTCTTATGTGTGCAGAGATGGGACTTCTAGAAGATGATTGGATCGTGGGAGTGCCGTGATCCTTGGTAAATTGGCCCACTGGGGAGTTGATAGCTAATGTGCTGTTCGAAGGTGGGGCACGATTGGAAGAGGTCTGCCGCATGGGTTCTGCCTTTGGAGGGTACCTCTCCATTCCCTGCACCTCCCTTCACACTGTGCTTCCTAGCTGCTCTGCCTGTCTGTCACGATGTTTCCACCTTGCTATGGGCTGAATCCTCTGAACCACACACTAAATTAAACCTTTCTTCCTTTTTAAGTCATGAGTGTCAGGTATTGTGTTCACTGATTTGAAAGCTGACTAATGCACCAGTTATATAAGTACTGCAGTAATGAAGATACAGAGCAGTAATATCACTTGCCTCAAAACGCCCTTATGGCTTTTTGTCACATGTAGATTCTGTTTCCGTCCAGGGTGACAGGTCCCAAGAACGAGGTGCTTCAAATGAAAAGAAAAGTAGGAGAAACAAGAAAAACAAGGGAGACAAAGTTCCTGGATCAGGGGGCTTACAGCCTCTTGGACTACACCCCCGATTACAATCTCAGTCACACTTTATTGAGCGAGAACCAAGGGCGTAGCTAGTACAAATGGGCAGATACCAAACGTTTTAGCAAGGATAATACAGCTCAATTATCAGAAGTATGAGATTTGACTTCGTAAGCCCTCATGTTATCATTCCTTCAGGTATGTCTCAGTAAAGCCTTTAGTGTTGACCATGGCGGCTTTCCACAAGGACAGAGGTTTTGCAATCTTATCCTTTCCACCAAGGCTTTTGCTAGACTCCCTCCAGAGCTAAACAGTCATATGGCTTGATCAGGCCTGAGGGAATACATTGAAAAAGTAATTAAAGGGTTATCTTTCTCCACTGGTAATCCAACACAGGCCTGTAATCCCAGTATTTGGGAGGCTGAGGCAGGAGGATCGTAAACTCAAAGCCAGTCTGGGCTGTATAATGAAGCCTTATTTTAAGAAACCCTAACAAACAATAAACAAATCACTGTGTGTCCTCAGTGCTTTGTCTAACTAAAGAACGTCCTTTCCCACAGCTTTTCTCCCACTTATAGCATTGGTGACCACTGTCTCAAATATTTTGTCTTTTCTAGAATGTCATAAATGAAATTTTATGTGTAGCTTTTTGAGTGTGGCCGTAAAGTAACTTGTTCCTTTTTAACTGAATAATCTTCCCATGTGGAATTTCCAGCTTTTTGAAAATGATGAGCAGTGCTACTATAGGTCTCTCCTTCTCTTGGGCAAATACAGGATAGGTAAATACTAGCAGTGGAAATACTGGGTCATGAGGTAAGTGTCTTAAGTTACTTTCTTGTTGCTGTGACAAAATCCCTGACACCTGAAGTTAAAGGTGTGAAGGTTTATTTCAATAGCTGTTTGTAGAGGTTTCAGTTTTGCTAGTGAGCTCTCTCCAAGGCAAGCAGGCATGGCAGAGTAGAGAGGAGGCAGCAAGCATTGCAAGCTGCAGGCAAATCTCACTTTCCCTGTTACCCTATCCAGGCTACAAACTGTTTTGCATATTCTAAATTTTTGTTTTCATTTTTATTGTGCTTTAAATGTTCTTACATTTTTTGAATACAAGTTATACATGAGAAAGGTATTTTATATTTTCTTTCATTCTATGGCTTTTTATTTTCGTAGCAGATTTTTTAAAAGTTAATTTCATTAATTTTTCTTTCATTGCATTTATTATTTTTCTTGTTACTGAGACAAAATACCCGACACCCAAAGTTAAAGGAGAAACAATTGTAGCTTATAGTTTGTAGAGGTTTCAGTTCAAAGTTGGGTGACTCCAAGGCAGAGGGGCAGGGCGGAGGAGAAGCAGTTCACGGCAGACAGAAGGCAGCAAAGCAGTGAAGAAGGAAAGCAGCACGTGAACAGCAGTGACATCAGCAGCCCTCTTTCTGCCCCTTACATTATATCCAGGCTACATCCTGTTAGGGCAAGTAGCACTTACACCCGGCGGAGGGGGGGGGGGTGCTTCCCATTTTCCACACCCAGAACTGTTCCAGTCCAATCAGTGGACTAATTTAGTAATCACACACACACCCTTGAACACAGCATCACACACAATTCCTCCGAGCATATCGCATCTTAGATCCAGCCTCCTCTGTAAAGCCCGCCTATGACCGCGTGAGGCTTTGGGGGGACATCTACACACAAGTCATACCACTTACAGATTGTGCTTTTGGTGTCATACAGAAGAGATCTCTGCAAAATCCAAGGCCATAAGGCTTTTTTTCCTATGTTCTCTTATACAAGTTTTATAATTTTAAGTTTCTCATGTAGGCTATAATCCTTACTAAATTAACTTTAGCACAGATATGAAGGTTTGTTTTTTGTGTTTTTTAAAAAATAGGATGTTCTGTTGATCCAACACTTTGTTGAAAACAGTCCTTTCTCTCCTGAATTGCCTTTCAGATTTGTTTAAAATCAATTGATTTTATATATACTGATCTGTGTCTGGACTTTTTCTTCTGCTGCATTTACTTATATGTGTATTCTTTGACTAATATAACACTTGATAACTGTAGCTTTAGAATAAGTCTTGAAATTAGGTAATGAGTTATCGTACCATATGCATTTTCAAAGCTGTTTTTGCATTCCTAGTTTCTGTGCCATTTTCCTTGACAAGCTTTTCAAAAGACTCTTACTATAATTTGGATTCAAACATCTTTAAACCATTAGCAATACATATAATATTTGTTTCTTAATATGTGCTTAAACTTAAGTGTTATTTCATTTGGTGGGTTTTATAGACTGGTGCATAACTGGTGCTGCAATAATGCAGGGTTGTGAATAGTATAGATGGGCCGTTAATGCGCAGTCTTTATCGTGACAAATAGTAGCTCACGCAGCTGTCACATTGAAATGAAACAAGGAAGTAGGAAGGGGTGACAGACACTGATGAGGTGGTGGGGGCACAGGTCTGTACTCAGACACCTGGCTTCAGTTTCTGCCCCTGTACTGATTGTCTTGTACTCAGTTCTCAAGTCAGAATAATGATCATCCCACCTTCAAAGGTTATTATTTTTTTAGATTTCTTGTGTTATGTATACGTATCTTATTGTGACATCATTGTCATACCATAAAATTCACTCAAAGGGTAGTTTTGAGTATTTACTGAGAACTTACTGCAGGAACTAACACCTAGTGAACACCGTCACAGCTAATGATCAGAGTGAGAGGAAAGAATCATTGAGATCAGTACTAACTGAAATGTAAAGATTGAAGTCCTTTTGTTAGTTTGCTGGGGGTGTGGCAGCAGAGTGCCGCTGACACGTGTCGTTTAGTAGTTCTGGAGATTAGAAGTCCAAAATCAGGTCTTTGGCAGGTCATTTCATTTTGAGGGGTACAAGGGAAGGATCAGCTCCAGGCTTGTAGATGGCTGCCTTCTGCCTGTGTCTCTTCACATCACCTGTCTTCCATGAGTGTCTCTGTGTACAATTTTCTCCTTTTGTTAAGGACTCCTCGTCATATCAGATCAGGCCCCATCCTAACAACTTCCTTTTAATTTGATTCTTAGTAAAATCTCTATCACTGAATAAAGCCATCCATTCTGAGGGTTAGGACTTCAGTATATGAATTTGATGGGATATAATTCAGCCTGTAATGCTTTACCCTCTTGGTAAATTCGCATCCTTGTTACACACAAAATACGTTTACCTCATTTCAACATCCCCAGAAGTCCTAACCCACTCAAGCACCAACTCCAAGTTCACCATCTTATCTGTGATAGTTAATTCTATATACCAACTTGACTAGACCAGGAAATGCCCAGGTACTTCGCCAAGCATTATTCTGGGTGTGTCTGTGAAACTTGTTTCTAGATGAGATGAATGTTTGCACGAGATTGGATAAAGCGAG